TCATGTATGAAAATGCGAACGACAGGGTGTATGAAGTTGGAAATGACAGAAGGCCGGGCAAGAGCAATTCAAATACAAGAAGCCCTGGAGGCGACAATAATCAACCTTCCTCATCGCTGCAAAATAACGTGGCACCAAACTTAAATGCCCGCGCAGCATCTGCCCGATCTGCCTTGCCCTAACATAGTCCGAGGGGTAGTGGTTCTTCTTTCGCGCCCGAAATAATTACTGTTCTGTTTACTAATATCCGAAGTGTCATGCGAAATCGCGATGATCTATGCTCTGCCATTGACTCCACCGGGGCTGATGTTGTAGTTTTGACAGAAACGTGGCTCTCTAGCAAAATTCATGATAACGAAATCCTAACTACTAACAAACGGTTCAAAATTTATCGCACTGATAGGGAAGCTCGCCAAGGCGGAGGTGTGTTGATTGCAGTCGCCGAACATATAGATTCCCTTCATTTGAATGTTGCAAGTGATCTCGAAACAGTCTTTGTTTGCCTTTCCGTGAATCACAAAAAATATATCTTGGGTGCCTGTTACCGCCCTCCCTCAAGTGACGATAGCTTTCTGAACAAACTTCATGACGTAATCAGTACAGTGACTTTGCGATCTCCCACACCAAACGTCATCCTTCTGGGTGATTTTAACTATCCAAATATTGTGTGGTCGGCGGAAACAGCTTACTCAAGTCCTTTTTCGTCTGACAGTGACAAATTCCTCAATTTATGTTCGGACTACAATTTCTCTCAGCTAGTGTCTCGCCCCACCAGAATTACGCCCTCCTGTGCCTCAGTGCTAGATCTTGTATTGTCAACCTTCGCCGACCTTGTTTCTCCTATTACCTATCTGCCTGGTTTTAGTGATCATTTATTGCTGCATTTCACCTTAAATATAACCACAAGTCATCCCCCCAAAATAGTTAAAACGATTCGTGATTACGGAAAAGCTAATTTTACGGCTATAAATATTGAATTGTGTGAATTTCTGAGTTATTTTGTGGAAAATTTTTTTGAACGGTCTGTAGATGAAAATTGGTGTCTGTTCCGAAACAAAGTGAACTATCTAATAAGCACATATATTCCTGTTCGCACATTATCATCCAAAAGTAATTCCCCTTGGTACAACACCAGACTTAAACGACTTTCAAATAAAAAGAAACGCCTCTTTCGTGTAGCCAAACTTTCAAAACAAGAGAGTCATTTTAACGCCTATCATTACGCCGAGCAGGAATATAAACGTGCAGTATTAGAAGTAAAACGCAATTTTTTTACTAACACGTTGCCCACAATTTTATCTACAAATGTTCGCCACTTTTGGAACTTAATCAAACCTAATGATAACCACGGTGACCTGAAGCTTACAAACACAGATGGGGAACCAGTAGGCCATGATGAGTGTGCATCATTGCTAAACGATATATTTATTCAATCTTTTTCTTGCACCGATGTTTCTGTGTACCCCAACTTTAATTGCCCTGACTTTTTTCCAATGAATCCAATATTAATATCATACGACGGTATAGCTGCAATAATTAATAACCTGAAGCTCTCCTCTTCATCCGGTATTGACAATATTAACTCTAAATTCTTAAAGAACACGAAATCGTATTCATCAGCTATACTATCAATGATCTTTAAGCAATCATTGGAGGAAGGCTGCCTTCCCGAAGACTGGAAAGTTGGAAAGGTGACTCCAATTCATAAAAGTGGCAACCACTCCTCACCGAATAACTTCCGGCCAATTTCTCTAACATCCATTCCTTGTAAGATACTCGAACATATCATATATTCTAACCTCGCATGTTTCCTAGAATCAAATTCTTTTTTTCACCCTACTCAACACGGCTTCCGCAAATCATTTTCCTGCGAAACACAGCTTCTACTTTTCACTAATAAGCTTCATTCTGTCCTTGACCGTGGCTCCCAGATAGACTGCGTTTTCCTTGATTTCTCTAAGGCCTTCGATAAAGTTTCTCACCGGCTACTCCTATTAAAACTTAGCAACCTCAATATTGATCCGAACGTGCTACGCTGGATAGAATCGTTTTTAACCAACCGTTCTCAATTTGTGCATGCCAATGGTACTAACTCTTCACTGACTCCCGTAGGATCTGGAGTTCCCCAGGGTTCTGTTTTAGGACCGCTACTTTTCCTCATCTACATTAATGATCTCTCTGAATGTGTCTCCTCTAATATTAGTTTATTTGCTGACGATTGTGTACTATATAGAGAAATAACAAATAACTCTGACACCTCTGTTCTCCAATCTGATCTTAACTCTGTATCTGACTGGTGCGACAAGTGGTTGATGCAACTCAATCTTAATAAATGTAAATCCATGAGAGTTTCCCGTCATACTAACATATGCTCGAATTACTACATTGACGACACTCCGCTGCAGTCTGTGTCCTCTTACAAATACTTAGGTGTTTACATAACTTCTGATCTTTCCTGGGTAACTCACACTAACTACGTAACTAACAACGCCAATCGCATGCTTGGATATCTCAAACGAAATTTTTCACAGTCACCAGTGTCACTAAAACTCCTTTTATATACTACTTTAGTACGTACTAAACTTGAATATGCATGTTCTATCTGGGACCCCGGTCATAATACTATCATTGAAACATTGGAATCGGTTCAAAATCGTGCAGCACGTTTCATACTCTGTAATTACCATCGTACATCCAGTGTTACTTCAATGAAAAATACCCTTGGTTTACCCACACTAATGAACCGTAGACGCATTTTTCGCCTCACTTCATTTCACAAGATTTACCATAATAACCCTATCATGCGCCATGAACTTCTAACGCCACCTACTTATGTTTCATCCCGCGTAGATCACCAGTACAAAGTCGGTATCCCCAATTACAAAACTAACACTTATTATAACTCCTTCGTTCCTCGTACTAGCTCCGATTGGAATCGCCTTTCCGCTGACATAGCCTCCATAACCAATATTATTGATTTTAAAAATGCCTTGTTTGTTAGTTTTCATTAACCATTTTCTAGTTGTTATTACTGTTATAACATTGTGTAAATATTTTTGAAGTGTCTAAGCAAGCGTGCATTAATTACTGTATCATATTTCATGTATCAACAACTGTACACTGTCACCTAATCCCCCCCCCCTCCCCTCTGTAATGCCCTTCGGGGCCTTGAGGGTAAATAAATAAATAAATAAATAAATAAACTTTGAGTGCGTGCGCGCGTGATGTGTGTGTATGCCATTCTTTCTTTCTAGATTGTAGGCGCGAAAAATCCACACGGACTAGAGCCTGAGTAATGCAGAGTTGTTACTCAGGCCCCAGTCAGTGTGGATTTTTCGCGCCTATAATCTAAACAGAAAGAATATTTTTATGGGGTGTATGTTCCAGGCCGCCGGATAATAAGATAGATTTTGTTATTGAGCTGTATAAATGCCTTTCTGAACTCTCATGTAAATATCCTAACGCTTTAGTTACCCTTTTTGGTGATTTCAATTACCCAAATAATGACTGGTCTACTGTGTGGACGAGTGGGCTAACGCGTCTCAGCTCGGAGCGTGGAGCGAAAGCTTCCGCTGGGAACCTCCTGGGTTCGATCCCCGCCGCCCCCGCCCGTTTCGATCTGGATGAGTTTCGTACCGGCACGCGTTCGTGCGATGACTACTGCGTGATGCACGTTAAGAACCCCAGGTTAGCGGTTGTACTCCACTCGCTAAATTTCTCATCTACAGCTAAGAGACCGATTACCCGTTGAGGCGCATCTCCATCAAGGCTGCATAAAGAGCAAACCAATTTCTACGCGCGTTCAGTTCACCCGCTGTTGACTCCACTTCACTCCGTTCTTCCGATGAAGTGTGATGGAAGCAACAGTAACGATCCGCGATGCTCCGCTTCACCCCATGGTTTTTTAGCAAGTCCCCACCAAACTGTATAAAAAGAAAGCATTTTTTTTCTTTTCAGCGGCCCTTTAAGTGTCATCTGGGCCGGTTTGCTGATCTTGCGGCCGCGGCTGCGGCCAAGAGGAATTTTTCTGTCACGTGACCAACTCCATGGGGACAAGGAAGAGCGTTGTATATTTAAAAACACATAAAACTAGTTGCTGGGGAAAGGATGCTTGTTTCGGCTCCGTTTCTGTGGAAGCCATACCGATGCTGTTACCTTGGTTTCCTTTTAATGAACATTATGAAATGATTGTATTAGCGCGTTAACTTGCTTCGATCTTTTTTTTTTCTTACCGGTGTTTCGATTGAACAGGTGGGACTAACAGTAAAAACTGTGTAAGGCGCAGTAGTTCAAGTGGATGATTCCTAAAAAGGATCACAGTTAAAAAATAAGACACGCGAAAAATACAAAAAAAAATTTCCTAGCGCGATTTGAACCCGGGACTTTCACGCTGTGACGATGAGTACCGGCGCTCTAACCTCAAGCGCGAGACCCTGGCGCTGGCGGAGGTATATCAATATCCTGCCACCGCTTTCATCTCGAGTGGTTTTTCCTTTATTTTGGCTCCTTTTTACCTTTCCTGGCCGTGACTTTACCTGCCGCTCCTACAGTATAAGGGGGCGGTCAATTGGACTCCAGATGAAAGACCCTGCAGTCAGTTTCTGCGAGCGAAATTAGGCTTTTGAGCTTGAAGCGACACGGATTTCTCCGCCATTAGGCAGGGACGCTAGGTACTTCCTTGTCCCCATGGAGCTGGTCGCGTGACAGACAAATCCCTCTTGGCCGCAGCCGCGGCCGCAAGATCAGCAAACTGGCCCTGGGAACTAATTTAGAGTTCCCTCGTTTCCTCGACGCACACGGCACAAGAAGTAAAAAAACGTTTATGACCAAATTCATACGGGTAAATAAGTACAGCAATAACAAACAAAAAAGCTACAACGAAGCAGAAGCTCGTTCATTTCACCGGCAAAAGACAAAAGGCGAGCCAGGCACGCAGGAGAACACAATTTGATCGACAACCTTCAAGATTCCTTCGATTTTCTTGTTTCGGTCGCAAAAGTCCTCTATTTCTTGGACCGCCGAGAACTCGTTGGCCCTCTTTCCAAACGGGTGGAAATTGGAGCAGGAATGTTGGCCCGCCGCCGCTCGATCAGTTCCGACAGGAGAGCACACGCTTCCGGGTCGGCATCGAGCGAATCGTGAAACGCGAGAATGGCACGCGTGCGAGTGAGCAGTCGCAGCAGCTGGGCATGGTGGGCACTTTGCGGACACGAGCAGTTCGGAGGGCACCTCCTGTGGGGGCGCTGCTTGCGCCACTCGAGCTCCGTCTTCTTTTTGGCATCCAACATCAACTGCAGGTTTCTTTGGTGCTGCTCAAGCACTTCTTCGTCCAACGGTTGCTGCCGTCTGGAAGCTGCAGCTCCGTCGACGTCGTACCTGCTGCTGCTCACGTCTAGAACCGCTCTCGACCACTGCAAAGAAACGGCGTTCACTGATAACACCGTACCGTCCGTAATTCCGAACTCGGAGAGACCGCATGCATCTTTTCCGAAACTCAGCTCGGCCACTATCTGTGACATGCTAATGGCGGTTCTGGACTTGGTAAGGAATGGTAGATTCTATGCCGTCACTAACATCCAAACGAGCCGAGAAAAAACCGTACGGTGAAGAACACAATCCCCTCTGCATATGATAAAGAGCGAAATGAACTTGCTTTAAGTTAGAAAAGCAACGAGTGATACTGCGTAATCTTTTTCATCTATTTAGAAAATAAAGTTTCAGGAGCATGGTGCTCCTCGTAAGACTTGGTCACAAAAAATAATCGAGGAACGACAATGTGAGCTAGCATCTGATAGATTTTGGTATTAAAGGGGCCCTCCGGAGCGTTCTGCGCTGGTCTATTTATGGCGGTAACTCAATCTACACGTCCTAAGGATCCTAAGTATTGAAACATTACGGTCATGCGCGGCGGATTTCCCTACTGAAATTGCTATCAACGTCCCCGGCACGCCCCCCTTTCTGAGAGGACCCCGGAAAACGGGAGGGGCATCTCTTTACGCATCGGCCAATAGCGAGCGAAAGATTCCGGCGTCACTGCGCGTCACTAACGCGGCCGACCGCCGAGGAATCTCTCGAACTCGCGCGGACCGTCGTCAAGGGACCCGCACTTTGTGCTCGGCAGTCCTCGTTCGTCGCCCGGCACCGTCGCGCTGCTACTGCAATAAGCAGTCGCATCCCACAGATGACAAGGAAAACTTTGTCTCGTTGACGTTAAAGGATCGCAAAGCTGGCTTCGGAGTCGGGATCCACGGGAAGAAGGAACACGTGTCCCGCAAACGCACGCCTGCAGACGCCCTGGGAAGCAGACGCGCCGACGCATCACCCCTTAGCAACACGCTTGCATGGAGAAAACATAGTTCGCTGGTTTTGGAGCGATAATTGCGGACTATGTTTCCCGCACCACAATCAGTTTACGTTTTTCTCAAACTCTAATTTACAACAAGCTTAAAAAAGTGTCGCAATAATAACGTTCGCATTCACCGTGAGATGCAGCATTTCCATTGGTCAAGTCTTAGTGATGGGCAGGGAATGGGGGATTGTCTTCCGAGAGAAAATAGCCCCGATATATTTCTTCTGCCAGCTGCTTAATAAACGGTTTTGTAATCTAAAACTTTGGATACTTATTAACTTCCACCTACTAGGCAATATAAAAACATAACCAGACGATCGCAGAAAGCTCCGGAGGGCCCCTTTAATGCTATAAGGGATAAACATACACTTGTTCTGACAAATACTCCAAAACCTTCGCTCTAGTGAAATACAGTCTCACGGTCACCTCGTAGATGGCACATTCTCTCGCTGGCGTCATCAATGAGGCAAGCTGAGATCACAAGAATTTTGTGGTAAGCAAACACAAGTGCGTAAACAATGACCGTAGAGCAGCTCCCTACGTCGCCCGACGGGGCACAGCTTTCCGTCGAAAACCGGGACGAAAATCCTCTCCCCTGACGGGAACGCCCCTCGCGACGGTGACGGGAGAAACGACGGCTGTGTGAATGAGACCTTGCGGCATCCCTTGCACGTTTACACAGTTTTCAAAGCAGATTGCCAAACCGTTCAAACTAAAAAAAGGAAAATCAAGCAGGCAGGGGAGACACGAGCCAACTGTTTCTTTAGTAGAATGCTACGACCATCTTACCCCTTTAGTGCAAGGTCAAGAAGGTGCAGTTGGCAATACGGCAAAACCCGTGAATACTCCCAGTGTGCATTTGGACTGTCCATTCTGGGGAAGTGTTTCCAGTTAGGGACGCGCTCCGCTAAATTTAAGGGGAAGCTTTCTCCGATAAATTAAGTGCAAAGTGCCACGGGACAACGTGACGGAAAGGCATCAGCGATAGCGATGCCACGTGGTATCACGTGCGGCGACAAAATGTTACGCAAGATGTTAAGGTGTCGCGTGAAGACACGGTGTCACAAGACGTCACGATGTTGAGCGAGGTCATGGTGCCACACACCACGTCTTTTTCGTCACGTGGCCAGCATCCACCTTTCTCCCCGCCGAATCGAGCCGCTCGGCCACAACGGTTGCACACCCCGGCTTGTATTGCGGGCCATATACGGCTACCACCATAAAAGGAGTCAAGGAAAAAAACTCGGACGGAACTCACCTTGCCAGTCTTTCCCTTTCGGACGATAACATTGTCGGAGCTGTGTAAGTCACCGTCTTCGCCGGAAAACACTGCGCCACCGTCCGGAACCGACGCTCCACTGGGACCAGGCTGTTCGCACTCCACTGGGGAACCCTCGATCACGACCCCCGGAGGCGAGACGCTCCGGCGGACCGCCCGACGAGGGCTTTCACGCCGTCCTGTGCGCCGTCCCACATCGCGGGACCGGGCCCAGATATCCTTGGCGCTGCTGGAATCTTCTCCCGCAAAGACCTGAGCGTCCAGCAACTTTGCGGCCGGCTCCGGGGTCGGTCGACGGCCTTGGGTGCCGGAAGGGAAGTCTGGAAATGACGCCAAGTGAGGGTCCCCTTGGCTTTCTGGCATGTCGTGGGATGCACGCTCCGAAAGTTTCCCCAGCAGGAGTTCGAGGTCGCCCGGGCTTGAGCAAAGCTCCGAAAGCAAGGGCCCACCACCTTCTCTATGCAAATGCAGAGCTTGACTCGAAGAGACCATCGGGGCCGTTGCCAAAGGTGCAAACATGCTGGAATGTTCGGAGAAGCCGTCGGTTGGCGTCTCGTTCAGGGTGGTTTCGAAAGACGTCTCCTCCGGGACTCCCAGGGAGTCGCTCTTCGATGCAGCTTGTCCTTCGAAACTAGTGACATCAAAAGGCTCCGAGTCACCGAAGAGATCAAAGCCAGAAGTGTCGGGTGACATGGTTGAAACGCTTTCTTCGAATCGGGAGACAAAGATCTCGATGCTGTGATCATGAGCAGCCTCTTGAGACTCTGGAGGCTTGCCGCGCGAGACATCATCGACGCTGCCAGAGAATGATGGCACGAACGGCTGTTTTTGGTCAAATTCGTCGGAGCTCTCTCGCAGGCACGGAGACTCGTCGCAAAGGTATCTGGCAAAGGGGCGCGGAGACTCGGCGGAAAGGTAATCGGTCTCTGACACAACGTGCGAACTGCAAGTCGAAGTGGCGGGTGAGCTCTGTTCATCCGCGTCGGCAGCTGCGGGAGGCGTTGGCACCGCTGAGCCAGAAGTGCCCGGGACGTCCCACGGCTCTGGGGGCGGGCATGCCCGATTTTCGTCGTGGGGGCGAGCGACCGTACCACCAGCGGCCTTTGCGCGAAGCCTCTGCGGTCCAGTGATCACTGGACACTCGAACAGGTGCATCACCGAGTAGATTTTCTTCTGGTAGCGCTCCTTGAGGGCCTGCCAGGTCAATACTTCAGCTTGGGCCAGTTGGTTAAACATGCTAATACTTCGCAGCGCACAACAGACAACACACCATCAAAACAGATACACACAAAGAAACAACACTCACGCAGCGCTGACTGTCAACTCTCGGATATATTAATCTTCGTTCTTATCTTTCACCCTTACGCACTAAAAAGAAATAAATGTTAACCAAGGAAGAACAGCAAAAGAAAAATAAAAAGAAAAATAAAAAGAAAGGGGAAAGATTAATATAGGAAAGAAAGATGGAAAGAAATGGAAGAAAATAAGATCTAGTCCTACTACAGTAAAATTACTGAGGAGGTTTTCCTAAATAATATAACTCTTTTCTTGATAAGCTAATCGACGGGGTACTAACGCATACTCCGTCTAGCAGGTCTATGCTCGCGGCTTCGATGATTTCTCGAGTTAGTTTGTTGTTGCTTCGTCCCAGTACTGTGCAATTGCCCAGAAGGGGGGAACATCCACAATCTCTACAATGAATGCCCAGATGGCCTGAGTTAGCGTTAATGGCGTTGCAGTTATGTTCCCGGAGCCTGTCATTGTGTGCTTACCGGCAAGGCCGGACCTTTCCAGGCGCTTGTATACTTCGTTGCCTCGTATAGGCCCGGGTTCTGCGGCCATGAACTTGGCGATGCTGATGTCTTCGCCGAAGGAGAAGTTTTCCCTCACCCGTATTGACCTCAGGCCTCTGATCCGGTGCGCGGTCTCCCCTTCGTCGTCGATGTCCTCGACGCCGTCCTCCGGAGAGGAACTCCGCGCTTCGACTACGAAGTTCTTGAGCGGGACAAGCTGGCCGCGTTTGGAGCACTCCCTGACGAACTCGGTCGAGAAGAGGAGGTCGGGGCCGCCCACGGATACCGTGGCGCCGGCGGGCACCAGACTGATGGCTCGCGGGTTGACGCCAGGCTGCACGAGCATCCCACCACCGTACTCGATCATCTCTCGAATCTCTTTCCGCTCCGCGCACGGAATGAGCGAGAAGCACATGGGACCTCCTTCGTAACGGGTGAAGAGATTTCGGCTCTGCGTGACGACGTTGGCCATCGCTCGGGGAAGACTTCGAACCGCTTGTCAGCTGCCGCGGTTGCGAGGGGCGTTTCCGTCAGGGGAGGCCATTTTCGGCCCGGTTTTCGACAGAAAGCTGTGCCGCGCAGTGTTGCCAACCTATTTTTTGAAAGTACCCCACGCCAGCCTCCAGAAGTCCCTACATTACCCTACACTCTAAAGCTCAGTGGCGAATATATAGCGAATAAAAGCGCTCGTAGCGAATATATTCGCTACAACTGCGATAAAAAGTCCGCTTCTACAGTCCTGTATTTGCTACAGACAAAAAAAAAAGTAAAATAACAACAAAATGTCGAGCAACCTAACATACAAAAATAGGTACGTAGCGAATCAATCTATCGAAAAAGATACAACCCTTTCGTGGCGAATATTTTTCCCCACGCTGTTGCGGAAAGGATTTTTTAAGGTTAAGGGACCTTGTTTTCTTTCTATTTGCGTTTTGGTTAAAATTGATCGGTAGCGGATGAATCTCAGAGCGCACAGCAAAGCCCACGGCGAACCCTGACTCGTGCTCGAAAACGAAGAAACAAAGTAAAATCTGCGGCCAATCGTTCTTTCTTGTTGCTTTTTTGTTTCGTTTTTTTTTTTTTTTTTTGAATCTATCACCGCACTGTCGGGGAGGGAGAAGAAGGGGGACGAAAAATTGGCTATAAAGAAAGAGCCTCAAGCCGACAGAAAAAAACAAAACCATGCTACAACACGACGCCGGTCCCGGGAAAACTCCAGCCAATGGGAAGTCATGAATTTTCAAAAGCACGGGAGATGCACCAAGAGAGAGAAGCGATATTCAGACGAGCTATAATGGAGGCAACAGGTCGTGACCTCCGCGGCGCTTTGCGTGGTAACTGTGCCGAGTGTCGGTGCGAGCGCTACGTTAGAACGATAGAGTTAGTTCAGCTTGCCCCGGACATTCCACTCTGTGCTTGCATCGACTGCTGGCACCGCCCGGTCTGGCACAGTGAATTGGGTAAGTTTTCACAGCTCATTTCTTTACCTCTCATGTTGTAAGTACGTTTGTAGAAATGAACTGTCTTCTCGCCTAGCGAAGGTCTGGCGGATATAACTAATTAGTGTCCTGGAATCCGTTCGCGCTTGTGGAAGTGAACTCATTCTTCTTACGGCAGCGACAGCAATCGGACGCAGAATCATGAGCTCCCCCGGAGCGGCGATAACGGCCCCCGCCGGCCGTGGTGACTCGGCTTTATCCGGATCCGAAGATTACAGGATTGTTCTGCCCCAGCTGCCTTCAGGGGACGCGATGAAGCGTGCCGTCGTACTGCACGGCGACATGGCTTGTCGCCCATATCGCATCGAGAACTTCCGTCAACCCCTCGGGAAAGCAGACATGCCATAGAGTAATATAGTAAACGTAAAGAGAGGACACAGGAGCCGATTCGCGGCCCAGATAGTGCGTTTAATACCCTCCGCTACGTGGCTCTTTTCTGCAATTTGGTTAAAATTAATTAAAACTCTTTCTGTGAAAAGTATTTATTTTTTAAATGGCAGTGCTTTAAATTTATTTAAAGTACTTAAAACGACTAAATAGTTTAAAACAATTACGTCACAAAAACCACGTGATGAATGGCGCTTGCCATGGCCTGCCTGCCTGCACGCCGTCGCCTCTGCATCATTCTGCATGGCCTCTGCCCGTCCCTGCGTCGTTCGTCTGTGCCGTGCGTGCCGTCCATCTGTGCTTTCTGCTGCATCATGTTCGGTCGACTTTGCATCAATCAAGGTGACGCATGACCGCCCGCATGCTCGCATGCTCGGCGTGAATTCCTGGAGCCGATCGGTTCGAGCTTCTCGCGCTGTTGTTTCTGCCGGGCTGTCTGGATGCACTTGAACGTGTGTGCATGTTGATTTTCGATGAGATTGCTTTAAAAAATAATTTAACTTACGACCCTGGACACGACATTGTCCATGGGTTTACAGATGACGGTGTTGAACGAACCTCTAACACTGCAGAGAGCCTTGGTTGTTATGCTGTCTGAAATTTCCAAAGGGTGCGTTTAGCCCCTCGCATACACTGTTGTGCACACTCCAACAACGTCTTCTGTTTAACACAGTCTTCTCATTTCTCTCATTCGGGAGATTAAGACTGTTGGCTTTACTGTAAATTTGGTCTGTGGTAAGGGGGCTTCAAACGTAAGCTTGGTGTGTGTGTTGATAAGCCACTTTTTGAAGTTTACAACGAACACGTTTACTTTATCTTTGATGTTCCGCACCTTCCCAAAACAACCAAGAGCAATCTCCAAGCCCACAAACTTTGCATTGGAAATGAGGTCATTGAGGGGTCTTCTATTGTTGAACTTTATTGTTCTATTCATGAGATGAGCTTGCAATTGGCTCCGAAACTTACTGAGAGACACATTTTTTCAAGAACCTTTCTGTAAGATGGAAGAAAATTGTGCCCCACAGGTACTGAGTGCCTCACTCTTTCTTGCAATCATTTCCCTTGTTTACGCCAAGGAACTTCCTGAGGCAGCCATGGCTACAGCCTATTTCTGTGATAGGATGTGCATATTTTTTTATTGTCTAAATAGCTAAAAAAAATCAAGAAGAAAGGGCAGAAGTTGCGTCATGCCATTCAGAAGGGAGAATCTGATATACCTGATTTTCTCCACCAGTAACTCGGATGGATTTCAGCATGGCAGTTCCAAAGTAGGAGGCAGCCATAAGCCATCATTGGGCGGTAGTTACTATAAAAAGTGTCCTCATGCTCTGGGATGAGCTTTCAAGCAGCCATGACTTTAAGTTCTTACTTACACGACGCCTGCAGCAAGACACACTTGAGAACGTTTTTGGAGCTATATACGACGAATGCTGGGCTGCAACATAAACCTAAATATGCATCAGTTCACCTCAGGACTAAAACACCTTTCGATAAAAAAACTGTTCAAACTGTCGGACAATGAAAATGTAGAGGATGACAAGGCTGACCCTTTAAAGGAGTGGCAAATATTTTCGCACCATGAAAGTTTAATTTCAGACATTGTGGAATGTCTTCCAATTGATAATTTCCCGCCACTAGAGGATATTTGTGAGCTGGCATCAGACATCAGGTCTAACATAACTGATGACTCGTGTACTTTTTTGTTACGTTTGGGGCTGTTTGATCAAGCTTTTGCTTGAACAGACAGCTTACAGCAGTGGCTGTTCTCAGCTACTATCGGATGAGTCTAATAACTTGACCAGGCCTCACCAGTACTGTCTTGTTCCTAAAGCGTACCACGTGCCTGGAAAATTCTTCGGGAACTTAGTAGTACCATCACAGGCTGCCTTTCATTTCATTCAGCAACTAGAAAATCACTTTCTTCCCATAATAGATAGTGTAACACATGTTCGAGGAGTGTGTGCCGAAACCGAACACTTTGAGGTCTGGGTGGTTTTAGCCTTTGCCCAGAGGAGTACCACAAAGGGTTTTTAAAATTGTTTTGCAGAATACGCTTGTGTTGACATGTTTGATTTCTTAACCGGAATTCGGACAAAGTTCGGTTGCACTCTTTAGTGGCTAGTAAGCAACGAGACAGGTTTAACTGTTAATAGCTAGTATATTAACAGAGGCGGTTGCCAAACCAAAAACAAAAAATGCTTATTAAGTGGGCGGTGCAGCTTGCTCTCCAAATATTTGTTTCCCCTTTTTCCAGCGAATGTGTATCACGGCTCCCTAACATATATATTTGTCCACTTTCTACAAAATTTAGATAGAAAATAGTGTATAGAGGCTAAAAATATTTGAAAAAATGTATCCACTTTTGTATCCACTGTCCATAATTTTTTAGCCGCTTTTTTCTGAAGCCATATTTCTTTTCTGAACAATTTCGGGGAATGTTTAGGGACATTGAATCTTGTGAGATTTCGAATAGAGTTCTCATTGTTTGGTAATGGCTTGCCCGCAGTGAGTTTGAGCCTATGCAAATTGGTGTTTTTTTATATTTGCCGGAAATCGGGAATTTGTACTATCCGGTGTGTGCTTCGCACTGTTATTATACTCTTATGACTACTAATGATAGCGATGTCTTATTTATTTTTGCACTTACTTCACGTACCCGAGTCGGCGTGAAAGTGAATGTATCATACAGCATGTTCTCCGTGGAAAGGTTTTGTTAACTTGGTTCCGCTATGAATCTATTCCAAAGTGGACGATATACCGAACTCCTTCATAATCACGTATTTTTGTGAGTATCGATCTCTTTCGTATAAAACATACAGAGCTTCTGAAGTAAATCATGTATACATGAATGTGGTCCAATAAAATGTGCTTGAACCACTTACTGTTGTTGACCCCAAAATGCTGCACCAGCCAGGAGTCAATGCGGCGATTGTGTAACTTCAATGCTTTACAATAGAAAAAGAACAAGAAATATATATACTTCTGCTTTGTAAAGTAAGTTGAAATATTGTTTGACACATTTTGCACAGACTCTATCATAAAACATAAAGCAAAAGTGCGTCAATATTAGAAAAAAAAAAAAAAAAAAACTAAAAAAAACGGCGGCTTCGGAAGTCAAGGAGTTCCCGAGAGCCGAGCGAGGCAGGGAGGAAGGACAGAGAAAAGGGTACCGGAGAACCGGAGCAGAAACGCCCAAACCGAAACCGAAACTAACTTGACCGGAAACGGAATTAGATTATGTTTAATACCGCCCGCTAGGAGCGCTACTTGTCACTGGTCTATCTGGGCCGCTGGGGCGTATGGTAGTGTCCGCTCTTCACCTTGTGTATATTACTCTATGGACATGCTCGGTGAGGTTGCCAAGATTGGGGCGTTGTCCCATGTCTGGCTTCTCGACCTCAAGACCGACGCGGCCAAGACGAAGCTCCTCGAGGCGCCTTGCCGTCAAGGGCCGCACATGCCTCGACCCTTTCCGGCAGGAGGTGCGGCTGAAGCTGAACTGGGTGGCATCCGGCGTTTCAAACGACGTCATCCACCGGGCCTTCTCCGAGTTCGGGGAAGGAAAGGAGGTGGCGCACGAGCGTTG